TAGAAGTCAGAAAATTCAAATATTTCGATATTTTCTCCACATATTGTCGCCAGAGGGCAGCAGTTTAAGCCTAAAAGGCATGTTGAAGTTCTAATTGTGTTTTCCTCTAATTTTAAGTATTCGAATCCATATTTTGTGACTTTTTTACTATTTATTTGCTTTAATTTGTATTAAATATTTTTAAAAATATTGAAATATAATCATTTTTGATTATTTTTATATAAATTTTTTATTGTTTGATTCAGAACATTAAGATTCCCTAAAAATTGACTAGTGACTTTCCCCTTGACTTGTGACGGACTGAGATTTTGAGTTCTTTTGGATTCGCTTTAATTAATTAAGTAATAAAGTCGGCGGCAGTCGCAATCATCATAAAGATCATAATTTTTCCACAAATAAACCCTAAACAGTGACTAATTATCCCACTAAGTTTCAAGTTTTAAGTTTAAGAGCTTGAAATTTTATACAACGACATTTTGCAAAGGTTTTTCAATTTCTTTTCCTGACTCAAACTGTCCTTACTTCAAATATTGTCTCTAAATTGCAGCATTAATTGGCAGTCTCATTCCTTAACTCACATCGCAGTGTTCTGCAGTTTTTAATGAATAAGAAATTAATTGGGATTCCTGTCCAACTATAAATTCCAACGTTCTCCAAGCATTTCACACACACACAAAAAAAGCAGAAAACTCTCGTGATGAATCCAGTTTACCTGAAAGGGTCACGGAGTTACGAAGTGAGTGAAGATTTTATGAGATTCCCCCGGTTTGTGGAGCGAGAGTGGACACCGAAGTGATGCCATTCATTGGGGAATTAATCTCCTGGCCCGAGAGTGCTCTTTCGCGCCAATATAAGCGGCGAGTGGCAAAGTTCCTCCACGAAATTTTCCAAATTGAAAAACTTACTCGTCTAAAAACAATTCCGTGTTCCCACTTTAATCCACTTTACTGCCCTGTAAGAATTTTAATCTCTGGCGTGATCTCGCCGCCCACTCGCAAGGCGTCGAACTTCCAGATACACTTTTTCGCAATCAAACTCTCATCTGGGGTGGATTCTATGTGTGTTTTTTTTTGTTGGTTGGGAATTATTAGACAGAATACATTCGATAGTTTCGACGTATTGTTCGTGCTCTTTTCCCGTTTAGCCTCGCAATCTTGGGTGTGGGAGGGAAAGTTGATGTTTCAATTCCGCCTTCCAGGAAGACACAAAAAAAGGCGGTGGGCGGGCGCACATTTACACCCACTGAACCCATGCATGCACACATTTTAATATCATGAATGGTGGTAAAAGATTAAAATGCGACTTCCGTTGCAAGTAACACAATATCCACAGAGGGTGAATTTTAATTATGCCTCATTCACTATTCTGCAACCTATTAAGAGATGCGGCAAGAAAGGCTTTTCGGCTAAATGTTACACTCCAAAGGTTTTCAAGCTCTTACAACGTGAAACAATTATGCTACCACGAGCCTTTTGAGTGTGCTTCACACATTCATTCGCTCTCTCGAGACTAGAGGTTCACCTACACTTGGGATTCCCACTGATGATCTCCCAGAAATTATATTATCTTAAAGTGTATAAATTAAATGATGAGGATTTTAGGTTAATGACGTCAAAATTGGCCTCATTTATCTTGTACGAATATTCGAAAAATGCTGCAGAAAATCAATTGCAGTGGAACAAGGGCAAGAAACCATTGCTAAAATATGTACATCACTTCCTGACACTTCTACAAATTGTATGAAGAAAGCCTTAACACTTCCCGAGACATTAGATTTCATGGATTGTTTAAAGAATGACTAAAATCCACAAATAACTTAAATTTGACTGAAATTTAACCGAAATTTAACTAACAGTTTCATAACTCTTATTTTTAGACTTTCTGCCTTTTTTTGCATTTTCTGAATATCAATATTTATCCTTAATTAGAATCATTCTAGTTTAAAATATGGGAAATGTGGTGTAGTAAAGTGATAATTTGAGGTTATGTTTGATTTAAACCCTCCAAGCTTACATTATTGCGATTTGCAATGATTTAAAATGCGCAATTCTACTAATAAATTGAAAATTCTTGGTTTTCAGTGCAAGAATTTCTATTCTGAACTCCTTTTTCGTTTTTAATAAGTCACATAACCTAGAAAATATATGTCAAAAAGAAGGAATTGATAAGAATTTATTCACAATTCGAATGAAAAATCAAGTAACTATTTCTTTTAACTTAAAAATCAGCCAACAACTAACTGAAATCTAATAACCTAGAAAAGTATGTCAAAATTAGAACTTGAATTTAAACATTTTTAAATGAAACACTCTTATTTCTCAAGACTTCTTCTGATTTGACTGCCAAAAAAATCTATCAACTTATATATCAAATTCACTGGCTGTTTTTGAGTGATTGACAAATAAATTTGCCCTCTTCGAATGGCTCCACCTTTCCCACTGTTAAGTATTCTTGAATAGGTTCATAAAAAAATTGTGGGATTTGCGTTGAAAAGGTGACCTCAGAAATATTACAGCGTAGCAATAAATTAAAGCTCTTGCGGATGGCCTGGAAAAATCCACAAACTCAGCTTTATCTCTTCACCCTGGCTGTTATAACCCCTTAATGAAGAGACTCTCTTTGTTGCGAGGATTCAATTCACACAAACAAATTTAATAATGTGCAGAAAAATACTGGGTCGTATTCATAAATATGCTCTAGAATAGAGCAAGTATATAATTCGAATTATGACAAGGGGATGCTGACTTCTTGTATTGTGTGATGTCATTTCTGCACACGCACAATTCCGGGCATTTTTCCACCCCTCAAGGATTCCGTGTTATTTATTTCCTCCAGGCCCTTTGTCATCCCCTCTTCCGGGGGCGCCCATTGCCATCGAATCTCGTGTGGGGATACTTTATGTGCTGTTTGGGTGTGAAGGACACAAAGTGGCGGAATGAGGCTGCGGATTATCCTCTCACATGGACCAGAGAAGAAACGTATATAAAAGAGTTTTGCCTCTCGCCAAATGAGAAGTTATCACTTCAACATTAAACGTCTTCATTGTGTGGCATCTAACGCCTATCCTCAATGATATTTCACACGACGTCCTGTGTATCATTGCGCCTTTTCTTCCCCCGCCCCCAAATCCATGATAAAAATCACATCGCAAAAGCTCTCCCTTAATTTTGCTCCCAGTTTCGCATCCACTTTTGCTGTCGTGTCGCTTTTTTGTGCCATCCAGGGGGGAGATATTATGGTCAGAAGTGATGTACAGATCAGGAGATGTTTTAGGAAGTGGAAGTGATTCAATTTATGCAATATTTGGTTCACAGCTTTGATTTTCTGTTGATTATTTACTCTCAAAAATTAATTTTCTGTCCAATTTCTTTAGTTAGTCAAATATTTTTAGGTTATGTGACTGATTTAAGACTCAATGACATCTTAGAGTAGTAATTCTGACGCCTGAACTGAAAGTCTTTTTGCTTTATGAGTAAAATTGTGCATTTTCACTCAATTAATGAAAATCGTGAACATAACCTCAATTTTTTTTCTAAATTAACTATTGCAATTGTGATGAAGAAAAATGCTCAAAAGTGCAATTTTAGTGGAAGAAAATAATAAAATATTATTCAAAAACATGAGTTTTAAAGTTGTGAGTTAGATTTTGGTTAGATTATAGTCAGATTTTGGTTAGATTCCAGTTATTTGGTGATTTTAGTCTTATTTTAAGCAATCCAAGATATCTGAAGTCCTGGAAAGTGTTAAGGATTTATTCCTACAAATTGTGGAAGTGTGAGGAAGTGGTGTACAGTCTTTAGCCGTATTATCTTTCCCTTGGTGCCATCCTGGACAATGCCAGATCGTGGGTTCGGCCCTCGAGGCTCTCAGCAAACGCGTGCGAATGCTTGAGACTTGATAAAAATTTATTTCCAATCGATAATGGCACACTTCCCTTCGAAATATATTCGATTATCCACCGCCTCGAGTGGGGATTTGAATGCCACACATCGGGATCTTGTCTTGGCTGAGTTGTCATGTTCACTTTCGTGATTTCCGATGCGTGAAAGTCTCGCTCTGCGTGCCTCATAAAAATTACACTTGAGCGAAATTATTCGCAGAATATTAACTTGTCTAATTTTATTGACTTTACCGAAATAAATCAACAGAGCTTTCGCGAGAATCCTTGCTCTCTGCCATGTATTTTTTCTCTCTCTCTCCTGCGGCATGAATTTGTGAATAATATCAGCTGAAATTTTGAGTGGAAAGTCAATTTTCATTAATTATCATTCCGAGGGAAAGAGAGGATTATTTCAGTCAAAAAGAAATATTCAGTAGTCAATATATTGTCCTTCAGAACTTGCGATTCACTCAAAATGTATTCCACTAGGAATTTTGTGGAATTTTGCATGAGATCACAAGGATAAAGGACAATGCGATGTTGTAAATTCTGTTCAGGTCTTAAAGGCCTTTTGTTCGCCGACAAGCATAATAAACATTGAGTTGTACAACAATAAATGCCATACCTTTGAATGCTTAACAGAATACATGAAAATTTTACACTCCAAACTCGCTCAAACTTTCACAATTTCATTATTTCAAGACTGTATGAATAAAATGTTGAGTTCCTCGTGTCACGTGCAAATAACGCTATACTATAATACGAATCTCATAAGATGTTGAGCTTAATAGAAGAACTTTTAGAATTCTCAACACTTTCAAGTATCATTTTTATGCCATGATCAGAAATTACTTGAAGCCTTGAAATTTCCTTGAAACACGCTTTCTTATTGAATCCGGATGAAATGCGCAGCGTCATTATGCAAGTGCTTTGTCGCCCCCGCACTTCGAGTCGTCGTCAGAGGGGTGGGAAAAAAGACAAGGGATGCTGCCATCCACAAATGAATTGCCGACGATGTGGGCTGATGACACATTCGCCCCGTGACAGTTCCATCTTGCAAAATTAAAAATCATCCGAGTGTAATTTGCCACCCCTAACACTTTGCCACCCCCTCTTGCAGGCTCGGCTCGCAGTGATTACAGATTAATGGGGAGACACGGTAAATATTTGATATCGCCAATGCCGACGGCGGCGCTTTCGGTGCCGGAGAGCAGCGATCAGAAGCCGCCACGTCCGGACGACACCGGCGGCGGCCTGGAGGACTTGTCCGTGGTAATTGAACACGACGACACCAACACTCTCGAGGAATTCTTCAGACAGCCAATGTCTTTCGGCACGGAGAATCTCACCCTCATCACCACCCAAGTGGGCGCCACCGCCCACATTCCTTGCGTCGTGCACTTCATCGGCGACGGAGTGGTAAGCCTATTCTTTCCCACCCGCCACCCCCGATCCAGCAGCCGCAACGCACAGAGTATTGTCAAAAATGCGTAGGGGCGACTAGGGCGGACCGAGACAGTCGCCCGCAAGAGAGTTTTTCTGACTAGATTCGCAAGACTCAAGCAACTTTCACGAAATGTCTTGCGAAATGCAGAGCAATTAAGCCTCTAGTTCAAGTGCGTTTGCAGTTCTATTCATCACACTAAATAGACAAACCAAAATCACTTTTGAAAGGATTTCTAAGAATTATCGCGGTTGTTGCTACACAAATCGACTCAATGTAGACTTACTTGCTTAGAGCGATTACAGATTTGCGGGTTATTTGACTCCGTGGATGAGTTTGGAGTGTCTAAAGGTCAGATCAGCGACATATTGTGGTTAAATCTGCACCTTTAAACACTCAAATACGGATCAGCCATAATTCATGGCAGAACTGGCGCTAAACACACTCAGGAGTTATTCTTCTTTGTCGACACTAGCGACAATTTTGCTTCGTCTTCCGCTTTCAGCTGTCAATTAATTTGTTTATTTTATCAAAAAGCGTGAAATTTTACGTAAAAAATTCTGAAAATGGAAGATTCACAGAAGAATTTTATATGATTTAGGAACAGTCGTGTTTTATGGCTCAACCAGCTGTCAGTCGTACACATTCGCGTTCTCGCTTATCCTCTCGTGCATCACCCGCAAGTCTGCAATCGCTCTAAGTCTGTAATCGCTCTTAACTGGCTTTAACGTCTTTCACGATGGTAGATTGTTAGTTTGCCGATCATCTATAAGTGATTCTAAAATTCACCTTTATATTTAGGGACAGATTTTGATAGATAATTCCACTGAAGCATATGTTTCAGCTGGAACATTCAACAGCAACCGCTTGGGTTGCTCTAATTTTCCATTCACAGGCTTTAAATTCTGTTTTCTTCGCAGATTCATGGGCTGTTCAAAAGTGCCCTGTTCGCCCCTAAGCGACACACAGAAGTAGGCGCTCTGGGGTTTTCACCACTCGTGGCTTCTCTGCTTCCGCAACCAATAATCAAATTTACACCTTCTCCCCATTCACTTTCGCCCGCCGTAAAATTTCACGAGGGAGGATTACGGATATGAATCATTGTGCAATTTTGTGATAATTTTTTCCCTTCAAGGTGAGCGCGCGCCTCCCCCAAGGCGGGGTATTTGCGTGTGGCCCAATTTCTCAAAACCGCAAAATCCCCTTCGATTGGGAGCATTTGAGGGAAAATTGGTCGCCCACCCAGAAATATTTTGGGGGTGGGTGGGAGTTGGAGAATTTTTGCATTGCGAAATTGTAAGCGAAATTCTACATAATTTATTAAGAAATTTGAGTGGAAATTTCAAATTATGATTCAAAAATATGGTAAATTGTCAGCCCCTCTCCATTGTGCTTCCACATTTATGCTTGAAAACTTGAGAACTCTCGCAAATGCTGTAGCATGGAATATTTTCCCCCGAAGCGAGCGAGTATATTAAAATTGCATTTCATGCTTATTGATATGATTCTTCTGAGTGGTTTTCCCTTCAATTTCCTGTTGCAATTTTCCCGTAATTCCTCCACTACAGCTGAGGATGTTTTCTCGTCGCCGGCAGGTCTCATGGATCCGAAGGAAGGACTACCACTTGCTGACGGTGGCACTCACGACATACAGCAGCGACGAACGCTTCAGTGCCACCCATCTCAAGACGTCAGAGGTGAGAAAGTTGCATTAATACAATAAGCAGGCCAATTTGTCTTATCTCGCTGCCTCACTGCCTCCTTGCCGCCAGGATTGGACGCTGCAAATTAAATTCGTTCAACCGAGGTCTGAATTCATTGAATTTCCCTCACTGACACACATTTTAATGTCCCCCTTTTCCCACACAGGGACGCCGGAACGTACGAGTGCCAAGTCTCGTCTACGCATCCGCCCCAATCGATATTCCTCCACCTGAATGTCATCGGTAAGTAATGCAGTCCTTTTCACGCTTCTGCTGTGGAAAAATTGAATTTCTCCCCCAGAGAGACAGCATGAAAGCTCCAGACTTTCTCTCGTGATATGTTCCGAAGTGATTGAGACAAACGACATGATTAATTTCCCCGGAAGCACAGGGTGATTCGCTGAGAATCCTTGAAAGAACTTTCAACACACAGTAATTGCTCAAAGAGTGCTGAGGAAAGCACAACCCTTTATTGCCTTTTCCACTTTGCACTGCCACAGATGAAAACAATGTTCAATTAAATTTTCTCTATTCTCTCTCTCTCTCTCTCTCTAGATTTCATACAATGTGATTTGTGATAAGCATAAAATGACAATGGCTGAAATATTGCTGCTAATACTAATGAATAGTTGGCAATACATTATACCACACCGATTGCCAAGTTAAACATAGTGGGAAATTGAGTGTTTCACCACGAATAGAGCAGATTATAATTCACCAATTATATACAGAACGTACAAAATAATGTTTCCAGTTGCAATTATTGGGGAGCATTCCAGGGGTTAGTCACTGATGCGGACATAAATCGTGATGATCTCTAATCCCACAAGGGGGAGATAATATAGTCAGAAGTGGTGTACAGCTCAACAGCAGTGCTTAAGAAGTGGAAGTATTCAAAAACGTGCTTCTTTTACTGATTTATCATCCGAATTCTTTACATTTCCTTTGAATTATACAAAGAAAGAATCATTTTCTAGGTTATGTAACAGATCAAGGATAGATTTAATGAATATTTCGCATTCTAGCACATCAATTATTATGCTAAAGTCGACAAGATCGCCAGTCATTGGCATATTTAAGCATTTTGATGCCGAAAAAACATTGCATATTGTGTTGAAGTCAAACATAACCTCAAAAATAATCATTTAGACTTGAAAAATGTTTATTCAGAAACCTTTCTGCACGATTTTGACTCTGAATCAGCAATTTTGGTCATCTAGAAAGCTTTCAATTGGAATCTTTCTAGATTCTTAGTGATTTTTTTGAGGTTAGGGTCGGAAAAGACGCTCAAAAAGCGGTTCGAAGTTGATTTTCATAGAAACATCGCATGGAACTTTAATATGTTTATTATAAATTGCGGATTTTTGTGGAAACAGTCTAGAAATTTGAAGTGCTGTAAGTGATGTACAGATAGGAGCATATTATCTCCCCCTTGTAAACCCAGACTCAACGACCACTTGTAATGATTTGAACGTCTTTGTTGGCGGTCAGGCTTTTCGATAGCCGTTCCTGACCTGGATAACGTCTTCGGGGTTCTTCTAAGATAATATTCTTGCCAATATTCAATGTTCCCCGCAAATATTAAAGGGTTGTTTTCAATAAATTTCCCTAATACAGAAGGTCAATTTATTACAATCTATGCAGATTGTTTTCCAAGACAGGTTGTAAGGAAAAACTTCCTCCTAATTAGCAATGAAATTGGGAAAACACACATCTCTGTATTTCCAAGATTTTCTGGAGTAATCAGTGGGATGCTTGAAAATTCATAAGGATTTCACAATTGAGAGGCAGAGGCATGATAAGATCAAAGCTCTCGCATGGAATCAAAAAAGGACCAATGAAAACAAATCCGTGCGCTTAAATTCACAAAAGGGCGTCATTTGAATTTCATCAGTTACCCGGGGTTGCTCACCCCTTTGCCGCCGGCGAATCGATACGAGAGGGAGGGAATTAGGAATTGAAAAACAGAACGAAGAGAAAGAGCCCTGCTTTCGCCCATTAAATATGAATGTTGATGGACAAAACAGGGCGAGTTGCCGAAAACCAACATTCCCACAAGAGCTCTTTGACTTGGCATTTGTTGCTCCCCAAATTCTCTGCACACATATGTATATATATATATAGCACAGTCGCTGTTGCCGCCTCCACGTCCTCCGTCTGTTCATTTATTAAATTCCAGCACAACATCCAAATCCTTTTGCTTGGAAAATTTTCACAATGTAAATTGGATACAATGGGCGAATTATGTAATTTTTCTTTGTTGCCACCGCAAGGGTGGGGGGTGAGAGTTGAGCATTGGGACAATTCTATGCATCGTTCTGCAAATGTCTCTCATTCTTGGATTGCTTAATGTGGACACTGTTCTCTGGGCTCTCTATTTTCACCCACCCACACACACACACTTTTATGTTGCATTGCAGAAGCCCGGGCTGAAATTATTGGACCCTCAGTGAGGTATTTGACCCCAGATTCCACCCTAAGACTGATTTGTAGGGTGCTGCAGAGCACGGAGACGTCGGAATTTCTCTTCTGGTACCAGGATGACCGGATGATCAATTATGATACGGATCGTGGTGTTAATATTTCAACAGAGTCGGGTAAATTAGTCTCTCCGCACTGATTTTCCAATGAGCCACCCCCCCCCCCCCCGTGAGGGGGTGGCAAGTGCACGCCATTTAATCTTCGCACGCCTTCTTTGCAGACTACAACTACTCCGAGTTAACAATCATGCGAGCCACTAAGCAGCACTCGGGCAATTACAGCTGTGTACCCAGCAATGCTCAGCCCGCCAGCGTGATGGTACATATCTTCAAAGGTGAGGCCGTGAAGAAACCCCCCGACAATCACCCCCAATGACACACCCCAAGAGGTCGATTGCTCTCAATGAAATGAAAATGAATAAAACATGCTTGACCTCACAAATATCGAATAGCCATAATGACTTTGCCATACTTTGACTCTCGCTCACTGCCTCATTTCAAATTAATGCCAATCGCTGTAATTAAACAAACACCCCGTGTGTCATGGAAGAGTTGGATTCAACAGAATTGTAATTAAAGATAAATTGAATAACATTCATTTGATTTTCCAAACGCTCACAGCCATTTCCTGAGAATTTCAAGCACTTTATCGTTATTTCCTGTGGTTTGCAGAGTGTTTTTCTTTAGATTTCAACAATATTTCGCTTGAGATGCTTTTCTCAAATATTTACTAATTTCGAGGCACATTGAAAGTCTCCGGAAAGGGGTTAATCGCACGCCTAATTAGTCACAATACACCAATTACTACTGAGTGCTTGAGAATATGAAGCCAGCTTTGTGGTAATTTCAACCACTGACATAAATCAATTACACTCAATATAGAACTACATAAATTGGTCAAGTGGGTCGAGTGTAAATGAAAACTTCCCTTATGATGCTGAGAGCGCCTCTCAGAGCAACCCTCTTTGGTAATCCTTTGAGAATTTCGTATGGTTATTGAGGATTATAAGTGAATATTACACGATCTTGACGTTATCGTCTTCTAACAGGAAAGTCGCTTGTATTTATTCAATAATTTCCTTTTGATCTTTCTTGATTTTTGTGTTAAATTGTGATTATTCCATGCAAAATTCAATCTTTTCTTGATTTGAATGGATTTTTTGTTCATTTTCTGAGAATTTGCCGCCAGACGGCAGCAGTTTCACCTTCAAAAACATGCAGAAGTTCCGATTCTACTATCCAAAGGCAAATTCTGACCTTTTCTCCTAATTTTAAGAGTTGAAATCCAGATTGTGACAAATTTTGAGACTTTTTTGTCTTTTTTTACCAATAACAAATATTTAAAAATTAATAAAATATTCAGAAAACATTTAAATATAAATTTGACGAAAATATTAAATTTTTGATTATTTCGCAATTTAATCTGGAAAAAAATCTTCAACAATTCTAACAAATCGATATTTAAATATTTGTTTGCGGCAATAAGAATTCCTCAAAAATCTCCAAGTGACTTTTCCATTGATATTGTCTATTAATTTGCAGACTTTTCTCTCCATTTCCGCATTTAGTGATTTACTGAAATTCTTAACTTGACAGAAACCATTAGATTTTTGCTTTCGATTTGTCCTGGGAAGGACGAGAAAGCACGGACTGTCGGTCTTTTATGGGACACAGTGTTCATCATAAATTTAGGAGGAAATATGAAAACATTAACCCACTTTCCACGCAATGTGCGCGGCATTAGGAGCAATTTCGGTGTAATCGATAAAGATTGAAACACTAAGAGATTGTGTGATTTATCTCCATTTTGCAGGCGATAATCCAGCTGCCATGCATCATGATCATGTGAACGGGTCTCCATCGAATCTACAAATCACTCAAAAATGGCCCATTTGGGTATCAACGATGCTTGCGTCGTTATTTATTGCCAGGCACAATTGGTCACAAATGGATGTTTTTCACACTACAAGTTGACTCGGGCTGCTGTATGGTGTAAACACCAACTGGAATTAATAGAATATGCCCAGAAGATGCGAAATCCCACGCACAGCGTCTGGATGGGTCTCGGCATACATATAAAGAGAATTTAGGTACCTTATTAACACTGATGTGTAAATATTTTTGTACAGTAACATCACTTCAAGGGATGGAGAATACTGTGGATAAAATACATATAGCGATTATATAGATATGATGAAAATATTTCATGTATATTTACGGGAGAGTCGAGAGATAATTAAAAGAGTGTGTATAGGAAAATACAGTCCAAGAATGCTGATGTTTCACTCTTGAGTTTTTCCTGGTGTTTTTCTCCACATGGAAGAAAAAAATCATCGCAACTGTGTGCAAACCGACAATTTGCTGTGATCAAACACTTCCTGGGCATCGATTTCCCGGCTTAAGCATCGTGCAAATGATGTTTTTCAAGGGGAAAGTCACTCGCAAGTTGAGACCATTAAGTTTGTGGTCATTTTTTGTGATTATTTCATTCAAAATTCTGATTATTTTTTTAAATTTTTACAATTTTCATTCAAATTCTGATTATTTTATACAAAATTCAAATTATATTTTGATTATTTTTTGAATATTTTATTGAAATTTTGATTATTTTGCAATTTAACTTGGGAAAATAATCACTTTTTTATTATTTCATTCAAAATTCGATTATTTTTTCAATTTTACTTTAAAAACAAATAAATTTTTTCATTATTTAATTCAGAATTTGATTATTTTGCAATTTTCTTGAAAAAATATTCTTTTTTATTATTATTCTATTCAAAATTTGATTTTTTTTCAATTTCACTTGGAAAATAATTCTTTTTTGAGTATTTTACTCAAATTACTGATTATTTGATTAGGGAAGCATTAAGTTTCCTCAAAAATCGCCTTGTGACTCGCCCCTTGATGTATTTACTGCGAAGGAGTCTGTGGAATTATCCGTCTAAAGCCTCAACGCTGTCAGATTCGGTGTTCACGTTAAAGTTGTGCAAATCGGAAATCACCTGAGTTTGCAGTGCTTGAAAACACTTTTCACTGCGTCCAAATCTCGACCAGAAAAAAATCCCGGATTCATAAAATACAGCACTCTAATACTGGAGTGAAATTGGTGAGTTTTTTTCCCTCCATTTCCAGTGAATCGACGAAAATGGGAGCATTTTCATCAGTGCGCTAGAGAAAAACTCACCCCATCTCCAAGGGTTATCCGCCTACTCTCTCGCCCAACAAACATCGCCAGCAATTTCCGCTCCACGTGCCCCCCATTTGGGGTGTGAGCAGAAGAGATATCACAGGCATGTGACAATGAATTGGGCGAACATTTATAGTCGTAGTCGGAACTATTAAGGTGGACTTTTGCTCGTATCGCAGGCCAGATCATCAGATGCTCCCGGAGACAAATTTGCATTGCAACTTCACTAATTATGCTATGATGAAGACAAACTTTCCATGAGTGAGTAATTATTAAAATTTAATTCACTCACTGACCAGCGACGCTTCTGCCTCGGTGGAAATCGAGCTCATGATGAAAACACACACACACACACACACTTGAGGTCTTAATTGATAAAATCTCATTACTGAGAAGCTTTTCACTGACCAGCATTTTCAATTTCGGTAACAAAAGATGGGTTTAGTGGCGTTGCTGGTCATTTGCCAGCAAAGTGCTAAATTTTGAATGGCTCGTGGAATAATAAATTTCTATGCGCAGAACTTCAAATTGACCCAAAATTTTGGAGATAGAATTTGACAAAATCAAGGAGCAGACATTATGGTCGGAAATTGGAGCAAATTGAGGCATTTCCTAATTAATTTTGCTTAAAGAAATCAATTTTATTGCTTTTCTAGGTTATGTGATTGTTTTAAAACAAATTTTAGTGACTAAATAACTTTGAAAATCGTCAAATTTGTGTTAAAGTTGCAAATATTTCTCTTTTTCTTGACAGAGTTGAGCATTTTTGATCGAAAAAACTCCATATTGACTGAGAAAAGGCTTAAAAGTCAATCATAACCTCAAAAAATCTAATTTTTAATTTTTCTAATTTCAGTTTTTGCTTTAAATTGTCAAATTCAACCTCATTATCTAGTAGAAACATGCAGAGATTCACAATATTTATTCATTTCCAAGTTTGGAATGATCTAAATTAGTCCAAAAATGATTTTATAAGTCGAATTTCTAACCTCGCAATTTGGTAAGAATTTTTCAAAGCATTTTCAGGAGGAAAAACTGAGATTTTATTGTGCCAGGTTCGAAATGAGTATGAAAGAAGTGTCTGAAGTGCTAAAAATTCTGCTGTGGTGTACTTTGTAAAACTGAACTTTACTCAGTAACAAAACGAGAAGTGACTGGAATTCGGACTTAAGTATCATTCAAAAATACCGATTTTCGGCAACGTTCCGCAGTCATCTGGAAGTGGGTGAAGAGAAGCAGTGTTAACACTTTTGCCACACAGCTTAGCTTCGGCATTACAGCACTTATGCTTCTCCTTCAAGTGCTATTGTGATTGCATTTAGATTGCTTGGCAAACCACTGGCGAATAGCCTCCAAATGCCGGAGCACTGAATATCTCGAAAGTTTATCTCTCGTCCGGCTCTCGGGAAGTTCACCAATTGTGCGGTCCACACGAGCAAATTGGCCCCATCCAGCCCCAGCCAAGGACTAATAATATGCTCGGTGGACAGAGTTGCAGAGTGGCGTAATGGGAAGCTCGTGGACAATGTGACGGAGAGTCCTTTGGCTCGCAAACTTCCAATTGCCAGTGTGACGCTCTCAGCTTCCTGGGCCACTCAAATCTGGGTGGATTGTTTAACATCGGGGATATTGTCAGAGGCCATAAATTTGCAGTGAACAAAGTAAATGGGCTGAAAATGTCCGTCCACCGCACATGATATGTTGATAAAGCGCCCCGATGATAGTTTCCACTCTTTCACCAGCTCAGCGATACGCGGCCGGCGACTTTATGCATCACTGAAGATTCCAACATGTGAGCCACCCTCGGGATCACCTGGTCGCACTGTCCATAAACACGCGGTGTCCATTATCATAATATTGCCAAAGGTATTTTGCGAGCATGCAACGCGAGACGCTCGCAGTGAAACAGGTCGGAAATTTAAACTCTTTTCTGGAATTTCAAGTGTATTCACAACAAAAGCGCCCAAAGCAGATGGATTCGAATTCCGCAGCACTGCGTCGAGGATTCTCGAGAATCGGGAAGCTCAAGGAGGAGATAATATGCCTTAAATCTGTACACCATTTCTTCACACTTTCACAATCTCTTCGCAGAATCTTAAACACTCCAGACACTTCTAAACGTCTTTAGAGGCATGTTTTAGACTCTTCAAATGATTAGATTTCAGATCATAAAAACAAATTTAAAGGTTCCTAGAATCGTTTATGACAAATTTGTGTCTTAATTTTTCATTTTTGTCTTCGGAAAAATGCTTTTTAAAGATTCTGATCAAATTGTGAGGTTATAAATCCGCCCTAAAATCTTTCTTAGCCTTATTCAAATCTATTCACGAACAACACAATGTTTCTACAAGAAAAATGACGTTGAATTTTCCGACTTTAAGGCTCAAATCACAAAAGTAATTAAGCAAAAGACATTCTTCTAGACTGGAATGACATTTTTGAGGTTATGTTTATCTTTTCAGCTCTTTCCTGCTACTGTAGTTTAAATAATTTGAAGTCTTTGTACACAAAACGTTCAAATCTTCCGGGAAAAAGAGAAATAATCCGAACTAAAGTGCAAATTTTATGATTTTAAGGGTTGTTTAATCGCGATAATATGTCTTAAATCAATCACATAACCTACAAAAGCAACAAAATTGTTTTTTCTAAGCAAAATAATATAGAAAAATGCCTCAAATAGTTGAAACTGAAGCTATTGCAATGCAAATATTCCAAATATTTTAGCTCTTCTAATTCCCAAGACTTCCACAAAACTTTACACCACTTCTGACCACAATATCTGCCCCTTGGCGGAGCTCTCGCCTCCTCAATCTTGCTCACAACTGAAGCGAGATCAATAGAAAGGATTGTGTTTCATGAAAATTAATGTGCGCGATGATTTGCTTTGTGCAAAATCAACTTGTGTGCACTTTTGCTCAAGTATATCTCATGTTCTCATAGAAAGCTTTTAAAAATGTGAACGAAAGCACAGGCAAAGTGCAGAAATTCTATCATCCAGAAATAACATTGTGTTTGCTCTCTGGGGAAAGCGCTCTATATCTCGATAAATAGGAATTTACAAGTTGCAGCCTGAGAGTCTCTATTGAAGGCATTTTCCCAGCATATTTTTCAATATTGCAAATTGCAACTTTATTGTATGGAATTTTGATGTTATTCGTCGAAAGTGGTTTACTTTTCTCATGAAAGCTCTCTAAACATACATCAATTTCTTCCGCCACAGAATATCTAATGTCGTCACTCAGCATTGAGCTCGTTAATAGGATAATAATCGTATTTAGCCGGCTGAGAATTCGAGAATAAATTACCTGCTTGCCTTCCAATGTATTGTGATGGCAATTATGGAAATTTTCGGTGAGGAAAACCAATATGGAATCATTGATAAATTGCCACGCATTAATCATTTTTATACACTCCGCGCGCGTCTAATGACGATGGAGAATTCACGAGGAGGAAAAAAAACACCCTGAGAAGGAATGTTAAGACAGAAATCGATCATGAAATGGTAAGACACTTTAGCAAGTGAAGACGATGGTTTCGTGTTGAGATTCTGATCTCTGTGTGCTTTATTTAATTAAATGAACAAGTTTCCCAGCAGAGCAACAAGTCCCCGTCGTCAAACGCCGGTCTTCTTGCTGATGATGGAAGAAAACACTGAGACACTTTAATGCCGCCCACCCGTGGCGAAGGCGAGTCCCTTTGGGAGAGTGTGTGACGGCCCACATAGTTGGGAAAGTACTGATTAAAATTTCCATTACGGACTCTCCTCGTCATGAGTGAAAGAATTACGTGGGCAACTATTAAATCCCGGGCAATGACTATAATTAAAAATTGAATTAGGAGAACTCCTCGGCGAAACTTCCACTCGCCAAAGATAAACAGCGCGTCGCAAAAGTCCATGGCAAGAAGGAGATACGCGCGCGCGCCATCGTGGAGGAAAAGATTACAACTCTAACTTCATTAATCTTCAACTTTTTCCCTCTGCCATCCGATATATTTCATTTCTTATCGGCGCCATGATTATAGCCCAGTGATTTTAGAGCAAAAATTCTCCAGTCCTTGAACTCTCCTTGTGCCG